ATACCACTCGGTCATTTTTGCTTTTTCGACAGGTTTTGACATATCTTTTTTCCTCGGATTCGTGAATAAAAAAAAAGCCGTAAATATTTAAGACTTTTACAAAAAGATTGCGTTTAAAGATTGACCTCGGCTGAAAATTTCAAGAAATGTCTTTAAAAAAACAAAAACCGGATTCCACGCATTGCGGGAAAAAGACGAAAAGAAACCGGGGTTGAATCTTCATCGGCGGAAATCTCCGTTTCAAGAGTTCGGTATTTTTTGAACGAAACAACTCTAACGCGTTTTTAGTTGATTTTCAAGATTTTGCTCCTGATTTTTGGATATAGCAAGTTTCAGTTTTAAGCGTAAAGTGCAGAAAAATGTGATAACCGCGCAGATTTTTATGATTTTTCTTTAAAGAAAAACTATTTTTCCTTAAAGAAAATAAATATTTCCTTAGAGAAAAACTATTTTTCTTTAGAGAAAATGTTCTTTTCTTTAGAGAAAATAAACTTTTCCCTAGAGAAAAACTTCTTCCGCTTAGGGAAAAACTATTTTTCCCTAGAGAAAATATTCTTCTGCTTAGAGAAAAACTATTATTCTCTAAAGAAAATAATTATTTTCCGCTCAATTAAGTATTTGAGTTTACTCGAACGCGTTCAGAGTTCAAACTTTAGTTTGAAGTTCGCTAAAAGATTCAAACTGAAGTTTGAACTCTGAACTTTTAGCTGCTCGAACGCATTTAGAATTCAAACTTTAGTTTGAATTCACTTCGCTCGCGCCGTCGCAGGCTTCGGCAATCAGTAGTGTCGGAGAAATTTTCGTTTGTTTTTCATATTCCGTGCCGATTTCTTCAATGATCTGCGCCAGATTTTCTCTTTTGACCAGATTCACCGTCGAACCGCCGAAACCGCCGCCCGTCATTCTCGCGCCTAAAATATCCTTTTTCGTTTTGGCGATCTCGACCAGCAAATCCAATTCCGCGCAACTGACTTCGTAATCGTTTTTCAAGCTTTCGTGCGATTCAAACATCAAACGTCCGAATTCGCTCAAATTATGCTGTTTCAAATATTCCGCCGCCTTTAAAGTGCGCTCGTTTTCGGTCACGATATGCTTTGCGCGTCTTTGAATGACATCGGGCAAATTGTCTTTGAATTTCTCAAAGTCGGCAACCGAAACATCGCGCAATTGTTCGATATTCGGCAAGAATCCGCTTAAAATCCTAACGGCTTCTTCGCATTCCAAACGGCGCGTATTGTATTCGCTCGTCGCCAGATCGTGTTTTACCTTCGTATCGC